CAAGGGACCCCGACTTGGCAGCGTTGATTGCTTTTATTTGCTTCTCTTGTGGAAAGATGCGCTACTGCTCGACCCCTGCTCCCTACCTTTCTACAGGACACCTTGTGATCTTAACTGCTACGTCTGCACCTAGGTTCGACCTCTGGACCCCTCGTTGCCTTCCCTGCCTCCTTCCTGCCTTAGTCCATGATGCCGACCCCGGCGACCCGTTACTCGCTTGGGAGCTTCTCCTCTTCCTATATATAGATATAAACTCTAGGTCCCTATAGGGTTCAGCCTCCTGATGAGTCGGTGAAACTCCAACGAAACAGTTTGTCACAGCCCCTCGTTTGTTGTCCTCTTCTCTCTCTCTGCCAACGGTTTACCGGGCAGTTCTGTTTGTGACGATATATTAATGCCATCCCCCGAGGACTCCTTTTTGCTGAAGTTCTCCCTGTGTTCCTGGCCCTTGTCTGGGTTATTGTGGATCTCTCTCCTCGTTCTTTTCCATATTACTTACCCACAGTGTGAGGGTTCTCTCACCCTTGGAAAGAACCTGTGCCGCTAACCTTCCCGAGAATGGTGCAGCAAGCCAAAATGTTTAGGGCCTACTGGGTCACTCACCCTCACGTTAGGCCCTAAGTATTATATGTACAAACGATGTGCAGGAAGCCCTCTCCACGGTGTCAGGATGCTGGGAGTCCTAAGTATGGGTGCTCTTGCCACCAGAATTGTTTCTGCCATGCTGAATTCTTTTTCTTTTTCTTAATTGTTCTCCCTAATCAATTCATGTACTGGTGCTTTTCACAATTTTTTTCATCAAGTAATATGAGGGGCATTGTGCTGCTTTTTACTAACCTTTTTATTTTTATTTTTTTTTATTTTTTACTTCTTACTAGTTTTTAGTGACTGTATTATGTACAATGCTACTCCCCCTATAGCTTCCTGTGCTGCAGTTCCAGTGCAAAGAACATCACAGTCTCTCGGACACTGGCGTCCTTCATTACGAAAAAGTTAATACAAACTCTTGGCTTTATTTCGAGGTCTTGGCTCCAGACGCCTGGCTGCGTTCCTTCTCGTCATCCCCGTCTCCTCCACGGTCTCACTTGTGAACAGACTCTCTTCTTCCCATTCATTCGTGGCTGCGTTGCCGCCGAACTTGCCGGAGACATGCTCGTCGCCAACTTGCCAAAGCACTACTCTTATTCTGTATTTGTCGACGGCTTGCACTACGTCGTTGCCTGTCCGCCGGGCATCAGCAGCCTGTTCCTTTGTCTGCCCTGATTTTCTTTGTGCCTGCTCCACAAGTCGGTGCGGTCCCCCTTTGTTACCAACGGCAATACCCGTTCCTATGCCCCCTGCAGACAGTCCAGCTTCCTGCGGGCAACCATGAGACCATGTTTTATGCCCTGCAGCGTTAGACATTCGTGACTCGCCTGCACCACAACAGCACAGGGTCTCCCCCCAGGGTACACTCCCAGTTCAAGAGGCAGTCCCTCCTCGTGATGCTGCGCCAAACGTCCAGGGTGTAGCCCCAAACTTCTTTTTTTTTTTTTTTTTTTTTTTTTTTTTTTTTTTTTTTTTTTTTTTTTGTGAGTAGCCCCAAACTAGCACATGATTTGCCGGAATCGCAAATTGCCACACAAAAAAGTATAGCCCACATGAGTGATCTGCGAACGGCTGACTGCCATTGTTTGGCCGAACCGCAATTTTTTTGCCGCACAAGGCATAGGCCGCACGGGTGATGTGCAAATGACGGGCCAGCAAACAGCCCAGGCATTTTGGATTTTGGGCTTGCAACACTATCTGGTTGATCCGTAAATTGTTGGCCAGCATCCGGCACTCGCGCCTGAGATCCCCCCCGCCCGATCTTTCTGGTCTGGCTACAATTAATATATGTCTGCACATTCTCCACCACCCACATTATGAACCTTTGGACTTTCTTCCAATTTGCCCCTCAGGTTGATGCTGATGTGCCCTGCCTACAGGTGGAGGATGGTAGTTATATCGGGAAAGGGGAGTTAACAATTGCGGTCCTACGAGGTAGCAATGAGGGACCGGTAACTTGAAACTGCGCAATTGTCGCAATGCTCAGGCATGTGAGTGGTTTCACCCTCCATTCCACATCTCTGCCTTCATTGTACACACACCTGGCCATTATATGGCCATTGTACATGCCTCTGGTTTCCACTGGGAGCTGTGGGACAACAGCATCCTTGTCCATGTCATGAGTTATGTTATTGATTTCTTACATAATGATGCTGTCTTGTTGCCACGCCAAACCGTCTGCTCGCTTTTTTATGTCGAAGATTCGAAGAACATTCCTCTGCCCCCGTGTTGCTGAACCCGGACTGTGCGACCTTCTCCTTTGCACAGCCTAAAAAAAANAAAAAAAAAAAAAAAAAAAAAAAAAAAAAAAAAAAAAAAAAAAAAAAAAAAAACATGGTGCCAACACTCGGTTGACGCCGCCATCGTCACTGTCACAATCACTACAATGGCATGGTTTCTGCATCCATGTGTGCAGAGGACTGTCCCCCATTTCCTGACTCCAGGCAGCCTCTGCATCCGGAGACCATTTTGGCACCATGGGCGTTATACTTAATCCCTGTTTATTCTTTTTTTATGGTCCCGGCTCTTCATTTATGTTGGCCTGCAATCGACATGCCATCCGTTGGGAGTGTTTGGTGGGCGTTCTCCATGTCAGCCACCATGGCAGTTGTTGTACTCAGAACGCTTAGCGACCGTCTTCACCCGAATAGAACGTCTCGTCATTATCTCTGCATGTAGACTGCAAGTTACACCAAATACAGCTATAATGACTGGGCGTTCTATTCGGGTGAAGACGGTAGGTCTTCCATGTCGTCATCCATCTCATCCTCACAATGTCTTTCTGGCCTGTCATCAAGGGCAGACTGATTCTTGAGCCTTGTCTTATCCTTTCCTATGCTTTCATCCTATTCCACACTCCTTACTTTCCCTTAATCTCCATTTTGTCTCCCTTTGCTTTGTCTTCTTTCGAACTATTCTCTGTGTTCCCTTTGTCTTCCTTTGCTTTGTCTTCTTTCCATCTTGTTCTCCGTGCTTATCCCCTCCCCTTTTACTCTGCCGCCTTTTCACAGCATACAAGCGGGCTATTATGGCACACAGGAATGTGGACAGCTCACGCTCAACTTCATCAACGTGGCGAGCCTTGTGCGTGAGAGGCATGGTAAAGGGGAGGAGCTAAAACAAGAAATGATCAAAAGAACAGTTTCAGTGTGCTCTTCGTGTTCGTATTTATTCTGTTCTTTTGTTGTTTGCTCCTTAAAGTGTACTCTTTTAGTTGATATACATGTGGCATATTAGACACCCAGAAATTAGGAAGAAATAAAGAAAAGAAGACATACACACATATGATTTTGTGTGTGTGTGTGTGTGTGTGTGCGCGCACGTGTGTGTGTGGGGCCGGACCCAGCCGGTCAGGTCACTGATTTTT